CCTCTTTTAGATCTTGCAAGAATTTTCTCACCTCCTGGAACTCATCAACTTCTTTCTCCTTTCTCTTTAGCAGTTCATTGTCTCTCTTCTCTTCCATCTCAGTTAGCTTCGCCATTATGAATGTTCTAAATTCTTTATCAGACATTTCCGTGATTTGCATTGAACTGCTTGTGGATGAAGAGGAGTTATTCTTTTCCCTTGGAGGAGAGGTATTTTCTTGCTTTCCCATATTTCTTGTGGTCCTGCGGTGATTTCTTGTCATCTGATGGATGGTGTGTTTCTTTCGAATTCTTGAATTTCAATCTGAGTGTTCAGGACCAAGCAAAAAGAGGTGATCTGGAATCTCTTTGCTGTTCTGTTGTGATCGCACACTAGCTTTGTTTGCTGGAGGCTGAATTATTGGTAGAAAATCTTCATTTTTCCTGTCCCCTGCAATGACTAGTTAGCAGGAGCCATGAGGAATCCTCTTCTGAAGGCCTCCAAATCTGAAAACAGCGGCCTCGTCTGGCGCGGCCCGCCCCCTCCTAAGGGATCATCCCCAGTACCATCTCTAAAATTATATATGGCTCAGTTATTATTCCTGCACTGTGCTTTTTTTATTTTTCTCAGTAGCACTTTTCTGACACAGTATGTATGTATTTGTTTTTTGTGTGTCTTGTACAGTACAATATGAATTTCTTAACAGGAGTGATCTTATTCTATTTTGTTCACTGCTATATTCCCAGAGCCTAGGCCTATGCCTAAAAAATAACAGACAACTACTATCTTATTAATAGCTTTGTGCTGGAGCAGCAGGTGGCCTACTGGTTAAGGTGCTGTACTCTCATGTAGTCAACCATGGTTTGAGCCTCAGAGTCAGAAGCTTGAAACTCACCTTGGGTGCATGTGCATGCATGCCCCAGATCCTGAGAGGAGAGTGGAAGGAGAAGGGATTGCAGCATGGCCATACCTTCTGGGGTGTGACTTCATGCTTTCTACCTCTGTCTCTTCAGCAGGCACATGTACCCTATAGCAAAAACAACAACAACAAAACAAAACCAACAAAATATGCTGCTAAAACAGGAATACTTGAGATTGGGTAGTTTCTATAAAGCACAATAATTTCTTTCCCATGGTCTGGAGGTTGAAGCATCTAGGCTCAGGGCACCAGTAAGTTTGGTCCTAGGTAAGGGTTCATCTCCATTTCCAAGAGTACCTGATGCTGCATCCTCTGTATGGG